TAGTGGGCATGGTGGTGTTGGGTCGACGGTTGGACTCGATGATCTTAGAGGTCTTTTCCAACCTTAATGATTCTATGATTCTATAAAAGAGACAGGAACATTTCAGCTGCTCCATTCTACACAAAACTAAACAAACTATCCACAAAGTTTAAATATTTACTATGAAATAATGTCAGAATCTTCCAGTTTCAGGTTTGAAGAGGTAACCAATCACCCTCTCCTAACTAAACTGCATTAATCTAGTAAAGATGCTACTGTAATCCAGAGTTTTTTCCCTGCTAAAATTAGTTCGTTCTCACAAGATTAACTACCTAAAGGTTGAGAGAGAAACCAGACAACCTGCAGGCACCAGGTTTTTGTGTCTTTTTTTCTGTAAATCAAGTTGTTCCACTTCTGTGTTGTTAGACTAATGAAAGACACAGAAGGTTAAAAAAAAAAGTAAAATACGTAGAAGGAAAAAACACTGCAGTTATGCTTTAATTATGTATCTACAGTGCTTAAACCAAGGAACTGACCCTGACCTCTGCCAGAAAGAAGTGGGAAGACAGCAAAACAGAACATAATGAAAACACGTAATGAATTATCTATGCATAAATTACCCTTTGAGTTCCAACTAATCCACTGCTATTAAGCTAAACATCCACTTCCAAGCAGATTTGCGTTTACTGTTCCTTAACACAGTCATTTTTACTAAGAAAAGCAAGGTTTTCGAAACCAGTATTACTATGCATAGTGTGCTAAGGGATTCATTGTTGAAAGTTGTGACAAATTTCTACCTGACTTCTGCAGAGTACCAAGACTCTGCTGTTACTTTAAAAATCTTTCAGTCCTAGTCCAGAACATGAAGGAAAGCAAGGAAAAATACCAAATTTTATACACTGATGACATTAGCTTGGCTTCCCTTATTCCAAACATCATCTTTACTAGCAAATCCAAAATAAAAAATCCACCTTCAGAAATTACAAGAGGTTTGTCATTAGTCCTGTCTTTCTTTATTCCATTAAAAAACGTGCCAATGACCCAATGTTTCAAGTCTCTCTTCTAGCAAAGTTCAACTCTCAAAAGGTCAAATTAAAATTTTCAGACTCCTGAGGGATACAGTCCTGAAAAGTTTCCCAGTACTTTTACAGTGAAATGTTTTAAGAGAATCCAGGCAAAGCTAAAAATCCTCCACACTGCCACTCATTTCATTTACCCAACGTGCAACTAATTTTACCTACTTAAATCAGTGAACTGATTTTCTTCAACTGGAACAGTTTTCCTACTTGAGTGAGAAATATAAAACAAGCCAAGTCTGAAGCCTTTAACTTCAACTGCCTGGGCTTCACAATCATAAAATATTAATCATGGTATTCTTTTTTCCTGTTTCCCTCTGAAATACCCATTATTGGCTGCAGTTAGAGAAGGGACACTGACCACAGACAGGTCGGTGCTCTGATGAGAAAGCTCAGATAATTTTCTTAGGTGACTAGCTGCTATTTTGCTTAAGTGCTATAGGTCATAATGATTACCAAACTCAGCGACAGGAAGGAATATTTTCTAGTGAAAGCAGCAGGGACAATAGTGGTTTTCTTCTTTCTTCCATAGCATGCAGTAGCTCACAATTAGGCTGAAATATTAGCTTCATTAACAGCACTTAACATGGCTTATTTAAATGAAGGCTTAAGGTACTTGGTGGTCCTTCATGGCCCTAACATCTTTGAAATGTAACAAGAAAGATACCTGCACAAATGAGAATTATAAATAATGCTTTATTTCAGAAAGAACAATATAAAAGGAGTTAGATTAGATAGTAAGATGCTCGTTTTACTACTTGTGGAAAAAATAGTTTTATTATTTAATACTATTTTATTAATAAAACCTTCTTTACTTATATTCAATCAAATTAAGACACCAGTAAGACAGATAGATGGTCTATAGTGACTCATTATTTCCCTTTACAAACCTATTACTCCTAATGAAAAAACTTTTGTAAAAACAGTTTAAAAAAAAACCCTCTTCACTTTTAAGGAAAAAGCCATACAAGAATCAAAATCATTGCATTAAAATTTAAATTCTTTGACTTTGAGACTCAGTGAATTTCACAGAAATACCAACTAACTTTGCTTTACAAAATAATGTGTTCTGAATTCCTCCTACGTTCACTGTTTGAAGAAATTGGAATATATTACAAATACTTGAATATAATTCACAATTTTGAGGAAAAAATCCTCAGACTGCCCATCTCAACACTTGCAGGCTAAATAGTGTTTTTAAAAATCTCCTCAGGATGCAGGAAGCACAAGCAAGGTATATTTTGGTATAATTATTTTACTGGGACTCTGCATTTAAAGAAACACTGCTCCTTTCTCTTTATTTTGGTGTTTTGGGGGTTTTTTTTGCCAATGTTTCTCCTTAATGCATCAATCTCAATCCAGATTAAGACAACTCATTTTATCTCCTAAAAAATTACAACCAATGCAGGAAGGTTCTTGGGAATACCTTTGTTCTGGCCAGCTTTCCCTCTGCTCCCTGTCTTTTCAACACTCTGATGCTCAGGCATCAGTTGAGTGGGTCCCAATCTATATTCTTTATCACTTTTCCTTCCATACTCCTCTGCCAAGACAGTTTGCAGAATTCAACAAAAATCCTGAGAGATCTACAGAAATCTAGGCTTATTATCGACTGTTTTGCGGCATGCCAGAAGAGACCTGGCCATTTCAGAAAACTGAATATGTCTGAAAAGTATCACAGAGGTCTTTCTCACTGTCAATGTTTCCAATGGCCACCAAAATCAGGTTATGAAGATTAAAAGCAAATGAATATCACAACCTTCTTCTGAAGAATCCCAAATGCAAGCAATGACTTGTTTAACTTGATAAACAATAATATGCTCTCAGAAAATTCCTAAAAGGACTTGGATGATCTAAAACACCCTAGTAAAAGCATAAGGACAACAGTAAATATGAGCATAGCACGCACAGAGCTTGATTAATCCCCATTACAAATTAACGGATCAAGAGACAAATAAGTGCATATATTTGGTGATGCATAATAATTACCTCAGGTGAAACAAGCTGTAGAAGGCTTTAGCAACATTCCATAAAGAGAAAATAAGCATTAGCAACTAAACTGACTAAGTTCTATACCTGCATGATGAACACTAATCAGCTAGTGTGTAACTTAGAGGCCTGGCAGGTGCAGAGAAAGCTGGAAGAGCACTCCAGTTCCTTTTCATGATGAGACCATTTTTAAAATACGTATCAGTACCAGCAGGCAAGAGAATAAACTACAAAATGGCATACAAAGTAGGTGACAAGGAGGCCTCCAAGAAGGAGGAAAAATGCAAACACACAGACAAGTTGAAAAGCACAACCTTAACGAGATGAAAAAATCTCCCATAAAAGAAATGAAATGATGACTCAAAGAACAAGAAAAATGAAGAAATTAACTCTCTTGCACAGAAAAGACTGATATTTGACATGCTTTAAAAGGAAAGGTGATCATTCTACTAAAATCCTGGCATGGCCCAGAAGACCACAACGTTAGAGTCCCTGCTCCTGTGAACTTCCCCACAGGCTTTGGGTAGATAACTTCATGCCTCTTTCCCAGACCCCATGTAGGTAAAATGGGAATAGTAACACTTGGTTTTTCTCAGGTATTTGTGAGGATAAATGCTCTAAGATTAAGGCATGCAGATACTGTTTATTTCATGGTCTTTATTTTATAATGTTTTGACAAACAACTATAAGCTGCAAAATTATAGCAAATGATTATTTGCTATCATCAAAATCGAAACAAATTAATTTTTGACATTTTAGCTGTCACGCAGAAGTTTGCCATATAACACTTCTTAATTTCATTATACAATGTGCTATGATACCGCTACAGTTCTGCAACAAATGCAACACACTGGACAAAAGACTGAATTCCTTTGCCTACTCAAAAAGGTGACTTCAGCAGAACCTGTATCACCAGTCAAAACTGAAATTTAAGCTTATGATGGGACAGGAGAATAGCATCATGGAAACATTTTACTGTAAATTTGCCGGGTCAAATCCTCTATTACCACCACTGAGGATCTGACTGACCTACTTTGTGACACTGTATTGCAGCCTGGCTTGTTAATTTTGGTGTAACAAATGTAACCTTCAAATCTATTTTTTTCATTTTGGCCATTTAGAATTTTCCCTGTGATTTCAGGAACAATAAACCCCAAAGTTCATTATTAAACCTCTTGAGAACACTTAGTTTCCTCTTGTTTCAGCTATGTAGCTCTCAAATTTTACTGTATTGGCTTCCAATGCAGATTATATATTTACCTAAGTTTCACTCAAAATTTAGATGGGTCAAAATAAAAGTTACTTCCCAAACTATCAATATGACCACTACCACCTTCAGTTATAACAGCACTGGCCATCTCTGGTTTGTTATAAATGGAGAGAGGAAGAGGATGCATTCCATCTGACTACTCTAGTGAGGCACTGCACAGGGAAGTATTGCAAATATTAGCTATAGTTTTCACAGTGTACAAACATAGATATAAAATCTACTACAGGATATAGCAAAGTAATAACCTTACCACTCAAAAACAGAGGTGACATTTTAACTGAAAAAGATCATTTTAGGGTTATATGGTTCAGCTGACTCGTTATTTATTGAGATATAATATACTACCTAAGAACATCCGCTACCTTAAGACATTAAATACTTGCAGGACTGAGTAGAAAGCAAAAACACTGAGTATACAATAGTAGCATATATTCCCCTTAGCCTTACACTACAAACACCACAATAAAATCATTCATATTCATCAGTGAGGGTGAAAGACTGTCATGCACAAATATGTGCTTCAGTATGTGAATCGAGTGCATTTTTAGGATGGGAAAGGGACGAGAAGGAAAAGATCGTGGTGATGATGAGCACAATGCAGATTCACAGGTGCAGCTGGAATGAGAAGTCAGTCTTGTCTTGCATGTTGATAAACCACGCTTGAGTCAGCACCAAACAGATGTTCCTACCTTACAGGGAGCCGGGACCTCTGAGCCAACAAAAGTTCTGTGGGTCCAGTGAGGTTCATCTCCCCATCCTGAAAGGATACCTGGGAAGCACCCTGTTGAGAGATTTCAAAGCACATTTTGAAACTACGTACATATTTATGCATATAGAACAATGGCTGTATTTATATTTTTGAGTGAATATTTGGAAAAGAAAACAAATCATAACTAACATCATCTCACTGACAGTGAGGACTGAAAGACCCATTCCGTATAGCGCGTACATGACACAACATTCTGAAAAAGAGGAGGGTATCTGAAGTCCTGCTCCTCACACCAGAGTCCCACTGTGCTTGCACTGGAGAAGCTTATGGTAGTGCTTCCTTGCCTGCCTATCTAACCTGAACGTCATCCTTTCCCATCCTGAGCCACCTCCTTTCTCACAGTGGATTCCACAGACCTCGGATAAACCCAGTGGCTTTTTTTCCCCGCTCTTTCTAGTAGCATTTATCTGGTAAAGACATATTTTCACAGTAACTTCACAGAAAAAGAAATTATGTAACCATTTGGCCAGACACAAAAATATAGTGCACACAGGGACCTGACATTAATGTTAAAGCTCTTGAAAACTATTATTTAACTTTCTTTTTGTGATCCTTAGACTCTTAATGTTTGCATTTTTACCA